TGGGCCAATCCTGGAGCTGCACTTTACACTTCGATGAGGGGAAGCTTATGCCATGCTTAGGTGCTTCAACCGCCAATTGATTCAGGATGGGTTGCATACTCTGCGGATCGTCACCAAACAAAGCGAAATCATCAGCGTACTCTAAGTCGGTCGCGCGCATCCGATGGAAGCTCTAGACTAAAATTTTAAAAACCTGGGCTCTTGACTGGATGTCTTCGAGTGTGAATTCGTAGAGGAATGGGGACATAGGGCGACTCTGCCGCACACCGTTATTGACAGCGTAGGAAGAGGAAAACTTGCCGTAGACCCTCACTCTGCCGGAAATATGAAGTACTAGTAGGATGACGGTGTGTTTCTCTGGCACCCCATTCTCTAGCAAGCAGCGCTATAAAGCAGCTCGGTCAACCGAGTCAAATGCAGCTCGTATGTCTACAAATAACTTAGTCCAACATTAACTGCCTGTTGAGCACTTCTTGTCCACCGGCAACCGTGATCCCACTTTAAATAATCTAATCAATTACTTATGAGTAGGAGGCTTTCAGTTATAATTTTAATATATTCCTCCCTGCAGCTCACAAGGTACATAGCTCAACTACAATCCGGAAAAGCACCAAACGCGTTTCGCCCTATTGGGGCTCGTCAGTGGTGTGCATTCCTCCGGGCCCTCTACTGGGGATCGAACCCATGACCTATAAAGCCTGACACCAACTAGCCAGCAGCTTAAGCCACTGAGCCATGGGGACGGCGGTTGGGCTACATACTTTGCAAACTAAATGGGATATAGCACGACCTATCTTCCACTGCCACTCAGGTTACTACCCTTGCAGATGACAGCGGCTAGCCTTCAGGTCATGATATCCTCTCTCTAGACGCTATATCCATTTGGAACTATGAGAGGCTGCGTTTTATATTAATTGTGAGTACAGACAACTTGACGCTGTAGCGATGGATGACCTCTTGGTCCATGGTTGGATGGGGAGATAGGTCGTGCTATATCCCAGTTAGCCTGCAAATTATGTAGCCCAGCTACCGTCCCCCCTGGCTCAGTGGCTTAAGCTGCTGGCTAGTTGGCTTCAACCTCGATTCCCTGTAGGGGACTGGTGGAATGCATATCGCTGACGTGCCCCAAAAGGGCGCAACGCATCTGGTGCCTTTCCGGATTGCGCTTGAGCTATGTAGCTTGTGATCAACTGGGACGAATATATTAAAATCTAGTCAATTATTCGTTATTTGTATAAACGAATAGCAACCAACATTAATGTCATGTTTGTTAATGTAAAATTCTGACGAAAAATAATAGGAAGTAATTGTTCGCTTTTTGCTCATCGCCTTTGATTCTCTTTCTGGAATTGACGATATATCGGCATCCTACATGACTTGAAACATTGCAAATGTGAGCAAACCTATTAGAAACTTTATCAGCGTATTAAGTTCTGCGTCTTATTTGCTGAAGCGGAACCGTCCATCGAATTCCACCGTCATTGCATTGAATCGCGTGATTATCCAAAACATTTCTGGAAATGTTTGCGGAGACATCATATCCGCTCTACCGCAAGTAGACTGCAATGTTACTCGCTTAACCTTATTGAATCAATCGAGTGGATGCGTTCCGCGATGATGAACGCGTCTGTTTTCTCGAATATATGAGAAGGGTAACCTCCAAACGCTTAGATGAGCAAGGGCAAGCGCTACAGAAAACATTGGGTGTGACAAATTTTCGTACTAACTTTCTGACCAATCCGTACCGATGTGTACACAACCTGTCCAGTGTTCAGTCAGACAGGCTTTAGACGCAAGCACTTGCATTGAGTCTGAAATTCAGTCACACACGAGAGGCTACCGTCTGGAATTTGAAATGCAGCTTGTACACCTTAATAACCAGACCAACGACTTAACTGCGAACTCCGAAATGGACCTCGAGTAGTTTAAGTCATATTTAGTCAACTTTTGTTTCCATTATCGAAAATATCTCAAAGTCCACTACATGTTACCAGCTGAAGCACACATTGACGTTATCACGGAAACTTAGCGAAAAGAAGACCTTAGTATAACCAAGTCAGACCTAGGTTCGGAACCGTACCCATGCAGCGAAATGAGGACTTAAACAAAGTGGAAATCATTCTTTCAGATGTCTCACGATTTATGGAATGCAGGAAAACTGGAGCAAAAGAGTACACAGAAAAACCACGGCAGAAGTGTCTGAAATCGCTGCTTGTTGAAGGTTTTATGAACAACTTAGCCCTATGGGCTCCACCATTCCTCGGCTTTATGACCTTCCAGAAATACATAAATCAGGCACACCACTGAGTCTCATACTAGATATTAGCAATTTACTTTCTCATGACACTGCACAGTGGCTGACAAAAATTCTGGGTCCCATCAGAAAATTGATCGTGCCTCACCGCTTCACCGATATTTTGTAGTTTGTTGCGTGAACTCGAAACATGAATATCTAGGATTAGAAAGTGCTTTCCTTAGACGTACTACTAAAAGAAACAGTGGACTTCCTATGTGTTTACATTGACCAATGAAGAGTAGATTTTGGCGTACCAACAAGCCACAACACCTGCTCGGATATACCTTTGATATACAATTACAACTTAACAATAAACTGCAGACAAATAGACGATGTGGCAATGAGATGACCTCTTGGTCCATAGTTGGCAGATGTCTGTATGGGAACGTTGGGAAATGGCCCACTATGACTTATCATTATTGGTTTGGAATTCTACCGGCGGTATGTGGATGATTTCTTCTCTATGATTATTCAGTCTATTTCGCTTACCGTTTTCGATTTTCTTTAAACTCTTCCGCAATCCCTGATACCTTGCGCGGGTCTAATAGTGGCTCTCTCTTAAGTATGCATGACAAGTGGAGTGCACCTAGATTACCGTGTGTCCCCTTTCTCCTCTAATTATTTGACCGAAAAAACCCTACCTTGTTTTGCCCTATCATTCTTCTACGCAGTGGAAATGTTACCGAGTGACCGACTGATTTTCGAGGATTCGGACGACGGTTTCCTCTGAACAGCGCACAGCTTCTGTTTAGGCGCTTCACTGAAAAGTGACAGAGTTATGTACGCTTCGGTGTATTTTTAAGATTCTAATGGATCAAACTCCTATTGCCGGGCTGTGCCGACTTTCCACCGGTTCTAGCTATTACCGAACACCCGCTCTAATTAGCTCATCGGCTCACCTATCTTGGTAATTTTATCACCAGCGCCTAATGACCACATGCCTGTGGGTTTGTCTGCAAGTATCATGTGTTTTCGGTCTCTGTTAATCACAACTCACAACACTATTCACTGTGCACTAAAATAATCGGAGTACGTGTCTTCCTTGGTCACCGTGTTTGAGTAACATTACTCGCTGGAATTCCCGTGTCGTCATTTGCATGCGGACCCTGAATCTCTTTATTGAATTGTTTGTCATAATTTTGTCGCTTACATTGGTTGAGTCCACCTTGGTGTCCATTAGTTCGTTTTTGCGCCCTGTGAGATGAAGCTGCGGGTTGTCCTATCATTGAGGAAGTTTGCTGCTTGACTTGGTCACACTGGTACGTGCTTTCATCCTGCGTGGATCCTCGGTATTAACCATGTCGGTTGCTGTAGACCTTACATAACGCATGCTCACAGTTATTTCCACCTCGTGTTCGTCATCTTGCATTTAGCGATTAACTTTTTGATTCGTTTGATTTCACCAGTTTTTACCGAAAGTCCTTTATGTATTCCACGACGTTTCATCTTCATTACTATTGCTACTATTACCGACATCACGATCTGAACCGTGGCATCCTGATCAGCCGCATTTCTGCACTCGGATCATAATGATTTAATTAAGCTAAACTGATCGTTTATCAGTACTTTGCTACGGCCACTTCAAGGCCAGTAGCTATTGGCCAACCTATTATGAAATTACCAACGCTCCTCTGCCCTAACCGTTTTTGCGACTGCACTTGGTATCACTGTCACTAAATTTGCCTAATGCGCCTCCTCACGCATGAGTCACATATATAACCGGTCTCATTCTAATTCCTATGGTCTCTACTTTCTTGCTGCCGTACTTCTAGAGAGGGGGTCGCTTCCTCTCCTCTTCATTCCGCGAACCGATAACCTTGTCTTATGGATCAGTGATTGTTCATTGAATATAAGAAGCGACCTGTTCGCTCATGGCCGGATTCTTTTAGTGAGGTGGAATTTTAGTGCTCTTGGGCGCTTTGCGAGCTACTCCCACCAGGCTGATCAAGTACTTGAAAATTACTGGTAAGTAGCAGGATTTTGGTTGTCAGTTTGTTAAGGTTTTCATCCCGGTAGTTCACAAGCTGCGTAGCAGAGCCTAGTCCGGAAATCACTAGACGCGTTTCGCCCTATTGCGGCTCGTCAGTGGTGCGCATTCCCTCGGTCCTCTAAGGAGGATCGAACCCAAGGCCGCTAGAGGCAGATGCCAACTAGCCAGCAACTTAAGCCACTGAGCCATGGGGGACGTTGGCTGGGCTACATAAGTTGCAAACTAACTGGGATATAGCACGGCCTATCTTCAACTGTCACTGACAGTGGTTAGCCTGCAAGGTGATGTCCTCTCACTAGACGCTATATCCGTAGCATTTCTGAAACTAGGAGAGGCTATTTATTTTATATTACTCTTAAGTAGCAGGATTTTGTTTGTCATTTTGTTAAGGTTTTCCGGACTAGGCTCTGCTATGTAGCTTGTGAATTACCGGCATGAAAATCTTAACAAAATGACAACCAAAATCCTGCTACTTAACAGTAATATAAAATAAATAGCCTCTATTAGAAAACTGTTAAGCTCAGTCTATTCGTCCTCTAGATTGCGAGTTGTAAGCGGACTGAATTCGTTTATCGTACACCGTCACATCTTCCTCTCATCCACCTTACCCTACCCCTCGTATGTGTGGTCTCAAGCTCCAGTAACACTTTATACTTTTTTCTTGTATTTCTCTGAGACGCCCATAACTATCTGTTTCACTTTTTTACTCCTCAGGTCAACAGAGATACGCGCTGTACAATTTATACGCTGTGTCCAATCACTCTGGTAGTGTGTACGCCGGACACTATACGGCCATTTGTAAACATCGCGGTCATGGCTCTTGGTTCGAGTACAATGATAGTCGGTGAGTCGGACTTCTTTTTCCCCTTGTCTCGTATTTCATGATATTGCGTTTCAATCTTCACTGATATGTTATCTCGCAACCCGTCTTGTGCTCTGCACCGATTCCATTAGGGATCGCGGGACTTCTTCATTCATTTTAGACCCTTGAGTACTGCTGCTTCGCAGCTGAACTCTTTAGGCTTTTCCGACCCGGAAAATTATGAGCATCTTGATGAAGCTCGACGGTACATTCTGTTTGGTCGTTGAGTAGTCGATGAGTCTGGTGTGCTTCCTGCCGTTGCGAATTACCTTGCCGTTGATTACAAGTGAAATCCGTAAAATTCCACCATCGCAAATGATCAGTGCAGACATTTTGTCACCACATTGTTTAAAGCGGTGGGCATCCCTTAGTTTGCTTTTCGGTTGCGATCGCATGGCATCGTGAAATCCGGTTCACACCCGCTCAAATGACGCGTGTTTCAGCCCAACATCCGCTAGCTATTGGCGACTTTACTCAGCCTTCTAACCGTTAAGGTTGACTGTTTCCACATGTGCTGTGGAACCAATCGGGCTGCACTTTAGTCGTTCATTTTCCCCATGAAACAGTGGTGTGCTACGGGTAGAAAAGCAATACATAACAAGTCCCGTGCAATGCAAATTATTGCGAAAATAAAATTTCCTGATATAATGGAAAGCGTTTTGGTGGACTCGCCATGAACTTATGTGTAATAGCGGGGATGTTCGTACATTTTAAGTATAAATCCATAAATCCATTGGTTGGGAGTTTGGTAAGACACCGTTTGATTGCGTTTTGTATCTCTCAGCTACCAAGTCACTAAATGAAACGCAACTGTGACAGCGCATCGTCAACTCATTTTTTAATATCGCTAGATTGGGGGTAGAAACGACATAATTTGGGAGAGCGCTCTAAGGCAGGCATACACGGAGGGAAAAAGAAATTTTTATCGCATTCAAACCGGGCATACTGTATTGTCAGGGTCAGAAGAGTACCCCTTAAGTTAGTGTTGTGGTTTGACTTCAGCGGCGGACGGCACATGTGGTTTGGGTTCTTCAGATTCTGGAAAACCATTATGAGATCTCCCCGATAACGCCGATATCGACTGCTGTACATTCTTATCGACTTCAGCCTAAGCTGATGGAGCGGATGAAAGAGGCATGACATTCTTAGTTGCCCTTCTTTGAGTAGTCTCGACAACAATAAGATTCTGTTTCTGTCACGGCTACCACGCTTGGATACCACTGTTGTGGCATGCGACTTAATGTCCACAGCTTATCATTCCTCTTGATGGATTGACCTATCGCAATGAGGCTGAACCTTACCGTGGTGCGATGGTTTGTGTGCCTCAGCGATCCATTGAGCTATGCTGGGTGTTGCTTTTGCACCTTCAGAGTCACTCATACCAGATTGGTCAATGGTTAGAGGCCAGACAAACTCAGCGTCCTGGTCCTCCAGGTTGGGGGTTAGAATGAGGATGGCACCTTATTCCTTAAAACGGACTCCTTGTAGCCCAACGCCAAACCCGCTGCGTTGCGGTCAGGTTTTTGAACCAAAGGCTTTGGTTGAGAACCCTAATCGTTCTCCTGTCTAGGTCTGGACAACCTGACACTATCCTACCCACGCAATACAATGAATCTGTCTTCAAATGAATTTCTGATGCTCTGACCCCCGCAGAGGATAATCAACGGTGCCATATCTGCTGCACTGAGCAGGGTGGATAGAGATTTGGATGCTACTGCTCAAGCCTTCCCGTCTTCTTACTCCCCCTCTTACGCTTTTTCTCCCTTATGGTCCCGTTTTAGCTTCACTTTTATCCCCCCAGTTTTCAACCTCCGATTCTTGGCCCTCCCCCAGCATGCTTTACTGAGCATTTATCTTCTAATTTCAACTCACATGCTAACGCGGAGCGTCACTCCTCTCCTGTCGACAAGCCCATGTCCAACCAAGCGATCCATTCCAGTTCATCAGCTTCCATTTGGAGTCCTTCAGATTGACATCTCTCAATGTACGCACATTACTACAGATCGGTCAACAGGCAGCACTTGCCCGAACATTAGAGACCCTCTCGATCGATATCTGCTGCTTATCAGAGACCCGTTTGCAAGACTCGAGCTCTGTGCTCACTTTGCGATCCCCTTCAGGTGACACAATCAACAATTTCTCATTGCGCCTATCCGGTGACGATGCAGCTTCGAGCACCGGCCTAGCTGGTGTTGGCATTGCCCTGAGTTCCCGGACTGAAGCTGTTCTGGTTGATTGGATTCCAATCAGTAGCCGGATGTGTGCGGTCCGATTGGCTGGCTCGTTCAAAGCTTCGAAGTCGCGCGGGACGAATTGGCGTCTATTCATCATCGCTTCCTATGCGCCCACAAACTGTAGCAATGATTCGGTAAAGAACGACTTCTACCGCCAACCGACCCAACTCCTTCGCCACAGAAGAAGCACGGACACTGTGGTGCTGGTTGGGGATCTGAACGCACAAGTTGGAAACTTGTCCACTGATGAAATGTATCTGGGCGGTCAGCACGGTGTAGGCTCCCGTACTGATAACGGTGAGCGGTTACTTCATGTGTGTGAAGATGCTCGCTTATTTCTTGCGAGCACTAACTTCCGACTCAGCACCCGCCGGAGGGTGACTTGGCGCCCACCAGCCTTGGACGCAGATCGATCACATTGATATCATTTACCGCTGGAGAGACTGAATCCAGAACTATCGCTCGATTTGGACCACATGTGTGGACACCGATCATGCACTTGTATGTGCTGACATGCGGATGCGTTTTGGCGGTCGTCCACGACGACGTTGTGAGCGCATTGACAACAGCCAACTGACAAAGCCAGCTGTTCTGAATGCGTATCGAAGTACGCTGACATACGAGTTGAGTAAGCGCTCACTGGAGACAATTGATGGTCACTGGTCACATGTTCGCCAGACCTTACTAGCAGCGGGCAAATCCTCATGTGGTATGTATAATAGCCAACATGGGCATCGGGTCTCTTCGCGGTCTCTGGAACTTATCGAGGCTAACCGGCATATCCTGGCTGGAAGCGAACACAATGAAACTCGCAAAGAGCTCCAGGCAAAAGTCCGTGCTATCCTGAAGAGAGACCGCGAATCTTGGTGGTCTCATCGTGCGTCAGATAGGGAAGTGGCCGCTGCCCTTGGCAACCATCGTAAGTCATTCCGTCTGATACGAGAAACGAGTAGCAGAAGACCTGGTGTTAGTGAAACTATACTTGACGAGAGTGGACAGCGTATCCACAATTTGTCAAAACGTTTGGAGCGTTGGGCTGAGCATTTTGAAAAGCAAATTAATCGGCTAGAATTGCTCGATTCTTCGCTGGCCAGTGATCGCCCTGCTCCGTGGGCTGTCCCTTTGGATCCACCTTCTCGCTCAGAAGTCGAACATGAGATGGGACTGTTAAAGTTGAACAAAGCCGCGGGACCAGATGATCTTCCTCCAGCCCTCTTAAAATTCGGAAGCTCTGCTCTTGTTGATGATTCACATGAATTACTAGTGAAACTGTGGGAGCAAGAGACTGTCCCAACCGACTAGAGCCGCTCCGTTATTGTTCCTATCATCAAAGGAGGCTCGCGTTTGGAATGCGGCGGCCATAGGTTAATCACTCTGATCTCCATCGCCTCCAAATTACTCGCCTCCATAATTCTTCACAGACTAACTGGCGCTCATGAATGCCAGATTCGTGAAGAGCAAGTCGGGTTTCCTCGGGGTCGTGGTTGCATTGACCACATCTTCACCCTGCGTCAGTTGTTGGAGCACCGTCACACATATTGGCGGCCCACCGTAGTCGTGTTCCTCGACATCAAAGGTGCCTTCGATTGGGTTGATCGATGTGCCCTTTGGAGTTGTCTGCTCAGGAAAGTTGTGCCCGAGAAATATGTGAATATTATCCAAGCTTTATACGCGCGTAGCTCGGGCAGAGTGAGGGCTTACGGCAGGCTGTCACCACCCTTCAATATCTCCAGCGGTATGTGATAGAGATGCCCGTTGTCACCTTTCCTGTTCAACTTCGCTACTGACGAAGTCACGGAGATTGCATTTACAGGACATGACTTGGAAGATGTGGAGCTACTCCCGGGAGAACGACTTCTTGACTTGGAGTATGCTGACGACATTGCGCTCATCTGTGACAGCTCCTAGACGTGCCAAGCCGCGCTGGACAGATTAGCACTGGCTGTCAGCCGCTTCGGGCTTTGTTTTTTTCTCCATCGAAATGCAAATCGTTTCTCCAAGATTGGTAGGGATCGCCTCCTGCGCTGACCCATGGTGTGGATCAGCTAGAAGTCGTTCGGAAGTTCAACTACCTGCGAAGTTGTATCAGCGCCCTTTGGATCGAAGACGAGATCACGAACCGTATAGCAAAAGCTCGAAGTGCTTTTGCTAATCTTCGCCACCTATGACGGCGGCGCGACATTACTCTCGCTCTGAAGAGTAGAGTGTACAATGCGGCGGTAAGTTCGACCCTACTGTACGGTTGTGAAACCTGGCCCATTAGATCGGCGGACATAAAGAGGCTAGTTACGTTCGACCATCGGTGCAGTTTGGCAGTTTAGCTCACATCTGGTGGGTACACCGCGTGAGTAACGAGCGTGTTTGACGCCTTGTTTACGGCACAGAAAAAGAAACTGAACCGCTCAGCACAGTCATTTATCGCACCAGGCTCCGATGGCTGGGTTACGTGTTGCGCATGCCAGCCCACCGACTCCCTCGACGTGCGTTGTTTGCTCACCGGGGATGTGGGTGGAAGAAGAGGAGAGGTGGCCAAGCGATGACTTGGTCCAGAGGAATGAAGGCCCTCACTTCGGCGCTGACCTCGGTTGGAGCGTCTCGGCTCCCTGGTTGGGGTCCGAAAGACGTTTGGCTGGATACACTTGCTGATATGGCAAGGAGCGGACCTCAGTGGCGTTCGTGCTGTGAGTTTATTTGTCCCTTCCCGTCCGTTTTAGTCTCTCCCTCCACTTACGATCTCATTTCGTAGTGTAAAACAATAATTTTTCTTTTTGCCTAGTAGCCGGCTGGTAGCTTACTGGAACGATGCCTATCCTTTGCTGGTAGCTCAGCTGGTATGCAACTGTTGTATTTATTTTCCTTTTCCTTTATGTATTGCCGCGCAGTAGCTAAAGTATTTCACCTCTAGCTGACTTGTATGATGATGATGATGGGATTGACACTAGACGTGTTACGACGATCTACGTACTCCTATCATTCACCGAGCCATGCTTAGTGCCATCAGTCCATTATTGTTGACCGGTTACTGGCTATAGGCCTGGACTTGTCTCCTTCATCACTATTCTGAACGCAGTACTTCCGTCTAGTTTTTTGCCGTATTTCATTATGGATGATATCATGGCACAAGCTTGATATCTAGGTTTGATGCTGTTGTCTGTGTCGTTTCCCTGTTTTCAGCACGCTCCCAGATTACTTGCAGCAACCATTATTCGTTCTTCGGTGTATGCGCACTTCAAGTGACCCTCACCATATTTCTTTTTTTCAGCGTTCGTCCTGTGAGTAGACAGTCCGTGGTTTCCGCGGAGGGCTATGTCTTGTTCTACGAGCTTGCAAACTAGTACTTCCCGCTCATCCCTTCCTTCTCGCTCGAGCTATTCCCGTCCAACGGTTTCTCTACGTGAATGCTTATTAACAGTAAATACAACAACCTCTTGCACCAGCCATATGGACGCAACACCATTACCTCGTCCCTTCTGATTATTCATTTGTTTCGATCCGTCGGTGATGTTCATATTTTACTCTTGTTATTTTTCTATTCGCATCCGCTTTCCCGCAAATATTCCGTCACTTGTTCGCCCAGATAAACCCTCCTCGTGTGTGAGCTTTAGTTCCTTTCTTATTTGTAATACCCTTTTAGTGATAGCAGCTCATCAGTGATATTTCTTTTAGCTTTTTGCTTCCTATGTTCCTCTTTCGCTGAGCCGGATTTTCTACCTCTGCAGCTTCGTCTCTGCCGATGTACTTATCAGACATTCATTGCTCAATGTACGTTTCACTTCGCGCCCTCTTTTCTCAGCCTCGTTGATCTTCGTATCTGGGGCGAAGGTGGAAAATTCAGAGCATAGTTTATTTCGTTTTTTATTTCCTCCTTGGCACTGAGCCTGTGACCTGCTTAATCACTGCCGTCCATATTGGCAGTCTTATTTGACACCAGAATGTTATACCACATTTTCTTGGTGGTAATCACATACCGTATAACACGTTGTCGTATTTAAACACTTGCTCACTTGATTCTGTTCACCTGTTTCGTCTGCAATTGACCAAGTCACCTTCCAACCCTTCAAGACATCCATTGTAGCCGTTTCAATAGATCGCCGCGCTTCGATTCCACTCGACACCCTACTCTATCTGACTCATCTGCCTCTCGGACATCGCAATATCTGAGGCATGTATGTTGGCGCTTGCTTGCCTCTGAACCTCTCTTGAATCGCCTCCACCGAGTGCGATACACGAGCCAGTTGATCTACCACCTACTCCACTTCAAATCATAGAAGTATCAAAGTTGGCCAACTGTTCACTCTCCATGCCAACCGAATCGTTATTCATGATTTCACTGCAGGGATAAAAGAGGATAGAATTACTCAGGGAGTTTGGGAGACATTGTACTCAATATACATGATAACAACGTTTACCTAAACGTTTTAAATAAACATTGCCACATACAATCATGCTTTTTGGCACTTTTTCCTGCGGCAACGAGAGGTAAGCGGGCTCAATTCTAACTGAAGGCTTGCTCATTGTTATTGCATACATTCAGCATCCTGTCCTTGCAAATCGGTATATTTATTTACTGAGCGCTTAGTATGTATTTTATGGCATCTCCCGTACCATATTGGTGGCTGCAGCTCTGTCCACAGTTGCTTTGTTCCGGTGTAAACCTTCTCCAAACTCCCCAATCTTACAAGCTGGGATAGCTGTTACCACAACGTTTTTTAACCGCTTGGTGCTCGTCATCAGTCTCCAGATACCCCCTTGTGTTAAGCATTTCCTCTTATTTTAACCGAATGGCCACCGAAGATAAAGTGGTGGTTGTCCACTTTGATTCGTCTAGTTGGTAGATTCACGATGCTGAGACCACTTCTTAGCGAGACAGGTCAAAACCGGAGCAGTATTCCTTACGCTTTACATCGCCTATTTTAACTTTCTTACAGAAGGGCATTCAGAAGCGATTTTGTTTGCTTTCCTATATTTAATGAGTAGTGAACTGCTATGCTCTACGATGGGCATCGGCTTCGGGAGCTACATCCATTTGGGTTGCAAATAGTAACTCGGACTAACGGATACCCATCTGCAGTCTCTTCCTTGTTGCATGACTGCTCAAATTGGTTACCATTGTTTGAACTCAGCATCCTATCCCGGTGCACTACTCGTACTGACTCTCCATACTCGTCCATAACGACCTTTCGGTCTAATGGTCTCCTTAGAAATTCATGGGTCTACTCGGCTGAATGCTTATTAGGATCCTGAATGCTCTTCTTCAATCTGTCCTATGAAAGCCGGACCTACGTGCTATGTCCCCAGTTGACCTTCGTTACGTACATCTTGTGCATGTGAGTCTGTGCGTCGCCCTCGCTTGTGAATTGTCCGGGCATGCAGTCCATGAATTGGCCCTTAGTTTTGTCTGCATGACCACCAACGGCACACGACGATGCTTACCTTCTCTTCTGTGCATTTTCTAATTACTCGGCCTTGTCATACACTCCAAGTGTTCTACACTTGTGCTGTTTTCGCTTGTACGTCCACAATGAGGCCTTATCGGGCAATCATTTGGAATAGGTCGAACCCTTACTTCATTTCAGTAGCTCTGGGGTGTGAGTGATGCGACTCAAGTCACCCATTATTTCCCTTGAGTGCATAGATGCTCCGCCGCCGTTCGCACACATAGAGTAACGGGGAGCAGATGCTGTCGGTTAGTGTTCCCAGTAGTTCATTATATCCGTTAGAACCGTCTTCGGATATGTGACGAGTCTTTTTAGCTTCGATTGATATGACAATATGTCAGTTCCCACTGCATCTCTTATTTTTGTTTTGTATCCTTTAATTGAATATTGGTAGCGTAATCTCACTCGACTCACAACTTCAACTGCGTCTAGAGAGTTCTGGTTTGACTTCCATTCATCAGCTAACCGTCATTCTCACCGAACTTCCTGGTCATATGGTTTAAAAGACCAGCATCAGACGCTTGAGTAGTGCTACACCTTGCCTTCACTGTTGATTCTCTGCCTGGATATCGCAAGCCGTTTCCTAGCGCTGGTCTTACTTCTTTGTATACCTTCTACATTTGGATTGTTCACGCGTTGGACATGTGTCTGGTTGGTCATTCACAGTTTGTTCACATGTCGGCAGGACACTGCCTCAAATGTTTACTCTTTCTAACCGTACTGTTTCTGCACAGCGGAAGGTTTTCATTCGTTATACTTATGAAGCGGTCACAAAGACCCGGTTTGTACAACCCCTCCCTCACTTGTCAATAATCTGGACTGCGATGCACTCTGAAATGAACTTTCGCCAATTCTGTTATTGGGACTTTAACCGAAGAAAATAAATATTCTATGTTGCAAATTCGCAACACTATGCTGCGCGATTGATTTCCTACATATTTCCATTTGTCAAGTAGAGAATGCCAGCTGAGGCCTCTACCTGTAAGTCGCCTAGTCGCGGCAGCAACGCTTGTCACACCGGTTAGTGACTGATTTGCTTGCGACACGCAGTCTTAGTCTAAGCCGCAGTTCGATTTGTGGTGAGACTAGGCCAGTTTTTTCACTGTGACTTTAACTGAAATTAATACCTTTTAAATGCTGTCCGCTCGCAAGAGCACCCCACGACCGGCTAGTCGAACGACCTCCACGTGGTGCCAGCTTATTGGTTCGGGTTACATTCGTTCCAGCCAATAATTCGGCGGCAGTGTTCCAGGACGTGGTGAATTTTCGCCTGGCAAGCGTCCTCCCTTTAAAAACCACAAAGGTCCATTTAACAACACTGCGACGTATCGGTTGTGACTCGCCACTAATTAAAGTCACTGTCTCTTCTCCTTCCGGAGGATCCCCACTCTACAAACGTCACCCAGTTCGAAGAGTACCTTTGATCCCCTCATACGATGGTGAACACAGCAAACAAATGCATGAATTCGGTCACACTTCACAAGTTCACTCACCATGTCCACTCACACATACGTGGTTGCCGGCATCGGGTTTCGGATTTGCCTGTCATTGTGGCCAGCCACAGGACGCCTGCGCCTACAGAGGGACCATGGGTGGCTTGCGCTGCACCACCCATAGCTCCACCCACACACCCCATATCCAGTGTAAACCCGAACGAATAAGACCGGGAGACATGTGAATGGGAGACACATTTCATCAACGAAGCCGGCCCACACTCCTTCACAGGCAAACCCAAGCACGCTATATTTGGGGAATCAAGCGTACACAAGGCGGTGGCTGGACCGTAGTCCGCTTCACACTGAGTGCATAGAACCGTTTTTCGAGCCTAACACGGCCACAAGGACCGTGCACCCCTTCCCCTCCAGCAACGACCAACTGTCTCCTGGAGCAGTATGAACGAGGTAGTGGGTACTAGACAGGTAGGCCCCTTGTCAACATGCACACCAAGCGCAGCCACACCGGGGATATCAAGCAACAGCCATTCACTTGAAATGACAAGATGAAATAAAGTAAATCGTATAATGCATACATACATAATGCATAACTCTTCGCTAAATTACCATATGTAGTAAGTTTGTTAGCAGTGAATGCGCGATAAGTAAGAAATGTCCACAAGTTACTTAAAAATGTTACAAACGCAACAAAATTACCGAGGATAAGCGCAATTAGAGTAAGCAACGTGGCAAGTTAATAGAAGATTATTCAGGTAGGCAGAACGAAGCAAATAAAGTGGAATAAAATTTATCAAGCTTGCAAAGACCTAGTTTAAGTGTAAGTTGGTTTAGCCCAATTGCGGTAAAGAAGCATCAAGAATGCAACATCAGCCTCAGCATGGGGCACACTTGCACATACACCTACATATATACGGACACACAAATCCATTACGGTACTGGTTAACTTGCTTTATTTTATACGTTTACCAACCATACCTGTTTGTATTATCATGATCATGCCTTCGCAGACGTTCCCCGCACTGCCGGGAATAAAACATTTATTTATTGTTAGCTAGAGATGGCAGGGTTATCGCGGATCCGAAGCCTTCGAGTCATGGGCAGCGAACGCCTCGATTGTTACTAACTTTTTGAATGTCTCGGAGGTGGTCCCACTAACAGAACTAGTAGAGATCCACTCCAAAGTTAGCAGCTGTCCAGATCAAGGTCGCGTGTCGCAATTCATCCACACAATGCGTACTTCAGATATACCTGCAGTGAGTCGTTAATAGGTGTGACGAGCATCGCATACTAATAATTGGCGCAGGAGAAACGGCTTCGCCAGTAGAATTTCTGCCTTCTGATTCGAGTCAGATCTCCGCCTTTTCTGCCTGGTGGATATAAACAAGTGCGAAGTCGGTTACGGGGTGAAGTGTTGCGGTTCTGTTTAAAAACACATGTTCCGCATTCTTGAAGTCCCATCCAATATCAAGCGGACATTTACACGCGGAACACTATCGGAAATCACTGGGTCTTTTTATAGGTCTGAGTTGGGACCTCCAAGCACAATCGCATCAGCCGCTAAGACATGCGACGGTGAGCTACATCAATCAATATGCAGGTACATTGGATTGCGCATAGCGTATCGACAGAACAGATGGTAATACTTTCTTTAGTTTGATGGAAGGATCTCACTTGACATGCGAACCACAGAACATCATACGGTGAACTGTTTGAAATGAATTAATGAGACAGTTGAGCTTCGCGCATTCTATCGCCTAGCACCAGTCGACGGAACTTCGAAAATCCGTCATCCAATGATCACAAATGATTGCCTTTTCGTACTCTGTGGCACACACTGACCACTATGCCACCGGCCGCACTGTAGACCTGCACGATGTATGTGTGCTAAAAGCCTGCTGAGGTATGAAAAGATTTAACTTTAGCACCAGCCCCTCCGGTTTCTTGGTTCACATTTTTATGAGTCATACGAGTTGACATTGTTACTGATGTATCTTAGCAGACGCACCACGCCGATTTGCAGCCCGACTCCTATCACCCACGTAGCGTACGCACTGCGGATGCAGGGAAGACACTCGTGGGATATATATATTCTGAAAAGTGGCCACCAAATCCGATAATGCAGCTGTGTCAATTCTGATAACAATCCACCCTTGAACTTCACCTACTTGCGGAGCACCTATAGGTAGTGATGTTCCGTGTTCGACGCGGAATCTGAAACAGACGCATTGACGCAGACATATCATCCTCCTACGTGCTAGATCCGACCAACTCCTCGCACTTCGCAGGTAGTGTTAATGAGATACCGCTTTTTGTACTCCGGAGACGCAATGCGATGATACCTGTGCCGATTTAAAACACGGTCCTTGGAACCACTTCAGCGACAAGTGGCCCGTTGTTCAGAGCATGAATTATGACGACGCTGCAACTTATTTGGCTATCCATCATAGACTCTCATGACTCAGGAACCGTGGTAAATATATATGAACCCAAGCAAACCTTCGTTACCGTGCTATTCATAGGAAGACTGTACCACGCACATACCCGGACT